TTTTAGTGAGCTTATTAGTCTAGGTTATTATTAATAGCTGCATTTATATAGTGATTTACTGTTTGCAAGGCACTTCACATATGTCATTTAATTTGATCCCCAAAACAAACCCAAGAGACAGGTATTATCATTCAAATTTTACAGATCAGGAAATTGAGGTTGACCAAGTTTAAGTGACTTGCTCTGAGTCACATAATCTAGTAAGTATCAGAGGCAGGGTTTGAATTCAGTTTTTCCCAACTACAAATCCATGCCTTTTCTAGTATGCCACTTAGCTACCCTAGCTATGCCTAGCTAGAACAACAGCAAGACACCAGCATGTAGCTCTTAGCCCCCAGTTAGGGAAATTTCCCTAACAATTTTTCCGGAGATGAAGATCCTTTAGTTGTTTAAATTCTTTGTATCCAAATAGACACTGGCTTCCTCCCCAGCCCTTCACCTCCTGCCATTTCATGAGGCTCCTTTCCACCTGTTTTAAAAAATGAAATATATATACATACATATATATATGTATGAGAGAGAGAGTATGTGTGAACTGTGGATGAATTGTAATGATGTAGTACCCTGATTTTGTGCCCTATTCTCCTTCCCCAAGTTGGAGAAATGTACCATTTCTGAAACACTAGGCTGCCATGTTGGATCATGTTCATAAGGTATAAGGCAAAGTTTTGCACAGCAAGTTTTGGCTAAATAAAAGTTCTTTGAAGCAGGGCAGCTTTCTAAAGAGCTGGTGCACACACACACACACACACACACACACACACACACCCACAACCACACACAAACACACGCATACACCCCCCACACACACACACCCTTATAGACAAATACCCTCTCATACAATGAGTTCTTTTCCCAAGGAGATGCTAAATATGTATTGTTAATTTACTGACACATAGTTTGAGCCTCAGATGTTACTGTTATTCTCACTGCCTCCTCTCCTAGCCACTGCTGGAAATAGTAGTTTCATTCATCAGAGTCCACTAATAATTATGAAACATACACATACACAACTGCCTTTTTTATTTTAAGAGTGTAATCCCTATTTTAAATGATTTCACTAGCTAAAAGAAAATAAGTCAAATTACTTTCTGGGTTGTCCATAAGCATTTCTTCAGTGAAAAGAAGGAACTAAAAATAAAAATGTTTTCTAAACATAAGCAAAACTAAATACTTCAAACAAATGCTATGTGTGTTGAAAATGCCAGTAAAAGTCCACTAAATGACTGGGCATATATTTCCTTTCTGTCAAAGAATATACTTAAGCATTTGAAATCCCTGATTGCTAAAGGACAGAAGAATGTAGCAAAATAAAGGAAACTGCGCCCATGTATGACTATGTCAGTGATTAAATGTTGTTACCTTCTTTTTATTGCTTAATTGAGCCTATATTGCTCAAATAAGAAATACTACAAAGTATAGTTAGCCTCTCTACTTTTCATTTTTAAATAGTTGTTAATTCTTAGATCTTCTTAAATTCTTAAATCTTTAATATTACCGAATAATTCTCAATTAATATGTCTATATTATATATGTAAATTCTGCAGACATAAAGTTAAGCATAATTACTGGCATTGACCTTCCCAGTAAAGATACCTAAAGTATTTTGACAGATCCTTATATAGATCTTCCAATTGACATAAAAATGGAAGAATTGAACCATATTTCAATAAATGAGTAGGCGTTTTCAAAAGAAAATGGAAGTTATAGGCCCTTAAAAATGGCACTCTATACTGGGAGCCAGCACTCTCAGAATTTTGCACACACTGTAACTTGAAGAAATGTCAAGTTTAAAACATCCTCCCAGTTTGTAATGTTGTAAGGAACCATCAGAGAGCATTTTTTCCCTCCTCATTCTGTAACAACCTTCACCCAGCTGTCCCTGATTACTGAGTGTAAGAAGAGTCTAAGTGAACTAGAAAATCTCCTGACTGTCAGCTTGTCATTGAATAAGCTCCTGAAGCTAATGTGTCATATGTGGTGAAGAATGCAGGAGGAGGATGTAAAGAATCTTAAGGTTACTGACTTACTTTTAAGACTGTGTTATGGATTCTTAGTTTCTATGTCCCTAATTTCTCTTTGTAGTCTGAATCATCTGTGTTCCAGCCTGACCTAATCTTTGAAGCTGAATGTGCTCAGTACATATAAAGTGATAGAACACTCATTTCCTATTCAGTACACAGGAAAGAACACTGGCTCTGGAGGAAGAGGACCTTGGTTCATATCCTGCATCTGATATCTATACTCCCTGTGTGACTTTGAGCAAGTCATTTAGCCTCTTGGGATAATGAGGGAATTGGACTAAATTACCTCTAAGGTTTCTTCCAACTCTAGATCTAGGCTTTTATTCTTTTTGCTGAACTTGTGCTGAGGATTATAATAAGCTATCATAAGAAATTTTATATATATATATATATATATGTGTATATATATATATGTATATGTATGTTGTACACACACACACACACACACACTCACACACACACACCTGCAAATGAAATAAAGTGCAAACTCAAGTTGGGATTTAAAGCCCTCTATAATTCAGCCTCAGTCCACCTTGTTAGCCTTGTCTTCCAGTAATCCCTTTCACAAACTCTGTGTTTCAGCCAACCTGGACTGTTTATCATTTTTCAAACATGTCCTGTCCTTTGCCACATCTTTGCCTTTTCTCACAGTAAAAATGCTACCAAAAATTCCTTCCTTTTCCCACTTCTCTGTTTGTGCCACATCTTTCAGTAGCTAGTTTAAATGACATGCCCATACAACTCAGCAAGCATTTGTTTACATCTTCCCTGAGCCAGGGACTGTACTAGGTGATAAGGATGCAAAGACAAAGAAAAATAGCCTTTCAAGGAGCTTACATTCTATGGAAGGAGTTAGACCAGGATGGAGAAGAGACTGAAACAACATGTACACAAATAAATAAATATAATTGTGTGTAGGGATATCAGACCTGTAACTCCACAGGTATAAGACATTCCCAATGAGAAAATTCTCTCTACTAATGAAAATCAGCACCTTCTCTGAAATTTACTCTTAAATAATTCCTGAGCCAATGAAATTTCAATGATTTGCCCAGGGTCACGCAGCCAGGATGTGTCAGTACAGCGAACTCAAATCTTCCTTATTGACTCTCAAAAACAAAATTCATACAAAAGTAAGCATTAAGTAGTTGGAGGGTAGTGATGGAGAAGAGACAGTGATAGCTGCAGAGACGATGAGAAACATCTCGTGGGAGCTGGCCCTTGAAAGTTATTTTGAAAGAAGCTAGGAATTCCAGAATTGAAGGTGGAGAGGAAGAACATCTGAGGCATATAGAATAGCCTTTGCAAAGGATGTCATGAACCACAAACAGCAGAAAGTCCAGTTTGACTGGAACATTATTTTTGGGGGGGAGGGGAAGGGATGATGTGAATTTAGTTTAGAAAGTCAGTTGTTGGTTTTTTGGTTTGTTTGTTTGTTTTTGGTTAGGCAGTGGGGTTACCTGACTTGCCCAGGGTCACACAGCTAGTAAGTGTCAAGTGTCTGAGGCTAAATTTGAACTCAGGTCCTCCTGATTCCAAGATCGATGCTCTATCCACTGCACACCACCTAGATGCCTTGGAAAGTTAGTTTTGAGCTACACAATTATGGATTTAAAATTATAAACAGGGGCAGCTAGGTAGCGTAGTGGAAAGCACTCTGGCCTTGCAGTCAGGAGGACCTGAGTTCAAATCCAGCCTCAGACACTTGACACTTACTAGCTGTGTGATCCTGGGCAAGTCACTTAACCCCAATTGCCTCTTGTTATAGAACAAAAGGGAGCCTTGAAGCTTGTTGAGCAGGGGAGTGACGTAGTCATGTCTGTGCTTGAGGAACATCAACTTCACAGCTATGTGGAGGATAGGTTTGGAGAGTGAAGACACTGTTGTTACAGAGACATTTAGAAGTCTATTACAATGGCTTCTGAGAGAAATGAGGGCTGGTCTAGGGTGATGGCCATAAATGGACAGGGGAGACGTGAGAGATGTTGTAGGGGTAAAATGTATAAGGCCTGGCAATTGATTAAATATGGAGAAGGCAAAGAAAGTGAAGGGTTTCAAATGACTCTGGTTATTATGCTGGATAACAGGATTTTCATACTTTTTTTCTAACACTCAATGAAACATCTCCTTTGATATCATTCGGCTCTCCAAAAAATGCTAGTCCATAGATATATGAGATGAAATTGAAAAATTACACCCTAACCTATTATGATATTGGCAAATCTATTTTCAGTGAACATTAAGAATTTCAGCGCTCCAGGCAATAATGCTATCAGATTCCATTTTGCCTCAGTAAAAAAGTAGTTCTTTCTCTTAACGAACAATTTAATTTGTTCAGAGTTACATTTGTTAATGCTTCTTGCTGTAATTCAGAATATAAAAGTTTTGAAATGACATCAGAATTTGGAGCTTTTTTTTTCATGTTTCACAGTTTTATGTAATTTTGTATAAGCTTTCCCAATAAAGACAATTGCAGGTTCACACTTAGCTGTATTATGCTGTTGGAGTGATACTCAGATCTTAAAGGCTATCAACAAAGAGCAATCCCTGGCAAGTAGTAACAGGTCAGAAAAAATAAAAATTGAGAATGGTTGCATTTGTCACGTTTGTTATCTGAAAACCAATCTAGCTGAACGCAGAAATGCTTGTCACTCAGTTGTTCATTCTGTGGTGAATTGTTTGGCTCCGGAAACTCTCCAAGACCGTTGTCTGAGTTGTAGAAGCATAGTGAGTGTACTAAACCATGAAAGGAGTGCTCACACTGACAGATTCACAGATCTTTACCTAGGTTGCTATTTGAAAATCTGAGATTACAATAATTTCTTGGCAGATATTTTGTCTTGTTTGTTAGGAGTCTATAAGAAATATATGTCATGTGCTAGCAATGGTGATTACTCACTGTAGTTTGATAATGTCTATTTTTTGGTTTTTTGTGATTACGCCATCAGTTTTTATCTTTTTTTTTTTTTACTGTAGGCACATCTATTTGGAAGGCTTTTTTCTTCACACCAAAGTTTAAACCAGATGATTCCAATGGCTGTTTTCCAACCCATGTGTGCTTTTGCAATGGGCATTATGTCATGCGTCATAATCCACCCCTACTCTTTGATATCTCCAAAGACCCCAAGGAGAGACATCCATTAACTTCAAAAACCGAAAATCATTTTCATGAAATTCTAAGAGTCATGCAGGAAGCAGCAGACAACCATACGAAGACACTCAGTGCTGTTCCCAATCAGTTATCTTGGGGGAACCTTCTTTGGAAACCCTGGCTTCAGTTGTGTTGCTCCTCTTCTTATCTCTCCTGTCATTGTGATCGGGAAGCAAAAGGTAGAGGTAAAGGTGTCAGACTGTAACAACAAGATAAGTAAAGACTCTTTCATGGATGAATAATCTTTATTTGAAAATTCAAAACTTGCAGTTCTGTTAATTAACCCAATTGTAGCTAATAAGCCCTGGCAGATGCAATCATTGTACTCCCCTTGATACTCTTGGCATGGTGTACTTTCTGTGACCTGAAGGATTGATTGTAGGATGCATAATAACTCAAATAAAACTTTAGAGTTTGCTCTGTTGAGAAGGAAGAACAATGGACCTAACTTGTAGGACCAATATGACTGAGTTGGTTGGTGAGGTGGATTGGGAAGTGTGGGGATAAAGGAGGAGTCTGAGTAAGTGTACATAACACTTGTGCTAATAATCAGGCTTTACAAAAGCTCCAAAGAGAATCCTCCCTTGTTCTTGAACTTCCTATGAAGTCATCTATTCCATGACTTGGAGCTGGACAGAGGGCCTGGCAATGACCACCTATGATTGACAGATATTTGCATTAAGGAAGAAAATGTAAATCAAGAAAGAAATTGCTCATAAAAGTGTTTAAAAACAAGCCACTTATAATTTGTATAAAGAATACCCCTTGTACCAGTGGTAAATAATTTGATTTTTCCCTTCGTAGATGAGAATTATTGTTGTTCATGATAAGTGTTATTGAACACGTTAAGTGAAATGTACAAGTCATTTAAAACCAACTTCAGAACTCTAGAAAGTTAACAGATGCAAATGTGTACAGTGGAAACTTGCTAGGAAGTATAAATTCATTAGCTTGCTCTGTATTTCACAGGAGAGCCGTGCCATGGAACTGACTTATAGATAAGGCTACCTTTTAATAAGGTTCATTTGATACTTTGGTAGCTTATTCCCCATGACTGACCCACCCTATACAGAATTCTACTCTGAGATTCATAGTGATGTTCTAATAGAGTTCCTTTTGTAATTAAAAATTGAGAAGTTAAAAAAAAAGGGAGCGTTGGGAGAAGGCACTCAATATACAGACTTCCAGTATGATTCAACATGTCACTTTATGGAAGCTTATTAAATTGTTGTTTAATCTCGCAATGAAATATGGTTTAATTTATACCACTGTTTAACTTTCTGTTTCTCTTCTATTAATGAGTTAATGATGAAAGCAATTACTGGTCCCTAGTGGCCAAAATGACCCTGGGCACATAATATGGAAGGCCTTGTGCTTGCAGTCACTGTTGGGAAGTAGAACTAAGAGAATAACTTGGCCTTGCTTTCCTATCCCCCAAGCCACAGTCACATAGTGAATCCTCAATCCTGACTAATTCACCTTGATCTGGGAAAGATTGTGCTTCTTACTTCCACTCTGATATTCAGTGAAATATTCAGTGAAACTTAAAAGGCATTTTCCACTTCTCTTATTCTGCTACCCTTTAGGCAAAACAAAGTTCCCCACAGAAAGAAAGAATTAAATTCCCCTAGGGGACAGGGAGAAATCTTTGAAATAAGGCCAAAGCAAATGACTTTTGTATGTTGGCTTATTTAACTGTAACTCCCTATACAGTCTTTCTAAGAAATTTCTGTAACCTGTTAAAACAAGTTCTTTTTATTGAGTATCTAACTCAATTTTATTTTCCAGTCCTGTAATAAGAAGTGGTATTTTCTCATGGAGATTTTTTTAAACATGTTATTTATGCCCTTTGTTTAAATACTTGTTCCAATCCCCTCACCTACCCATCCAATTGAAGACACCCTTGTAACAAACAAAAACTGTTAAGCAAAAAGTGACAACATCTGGCAGCAGATACAATGAAATCCCATCCTCATAGTTCCCTGTCTCTCTGCCATGAGCAGGAAAATAGGTTCCATTGTCTATTCTCCTGAACCATTATTGGTTTTTCAGTTACTCAACTTTCAGTTGCCTTTTAGTCATCTTTTTCATTTGCTTTGTTGTATCATTCTGTATTATATTCTATATATTCTGTATTATACGAACTGATGCAGAGTAAAGTAAGCAGAACTGAAGGGACATTTCCTTTTAGTTCTGCTTACTTTGCATCAGTTTATATAAATCTTCCCATGTTTCTCATAATTTCTAATATTCATCATGGTACAATAAAATTCCATTTTACCCATATCCCATAGCTAGTTTAGCCATTTTCCTATCAATGGACACCACTTACAGTTTTCTACCACCACAAAATGTACTACGATGAATATTTTTGTATATAGTGGGCTTTTGTTTCTGTCTTTGACCTTCTTGGGGATATATCTCCAGGAATGGCAACATTGGATCAAAAGGTATGAACAGATCGATGACTTTTCTTGAATATTTCCAAATTATCGTCCAGAAGAGTTCAACCAATTCATGGCTCCATCAACAGAGTATTAAGATGACTGTTCTCCCATAGCCAGTGACTATTTCCAGTTTAGGCATCTTTGCAAATTTGCCAGTAGTGAAATAAAGCCTCAGAGTTGTTTTAATTTTTATTTCTCCTATTAATGATTTGGAGCTTGCCTTCATATGGCCATTAACAGTTTGTAGTTGTCCATCTGAAAACTGTTCATATCCTTTGACCACTTATTTATTGGGGAGTGACTCATGATGTTATATATCTATGTTAAATCCCAATATGTTTGGAGTATCAGATGTTTTCTTAGTGATATTTGATGCAAAGTTCTTTTTTCCCCCACTTGACAGTTTCTCTTCCTATTCTGGCTGCATTGATTTGTTTGTGGAAAAGCTTTTTAGTTCCATGTACTTAAAATTGTCCATTTTGTCTTTTATGATCACTTCTAGCTCATGTTTGTTATTCTTTCTCTACTTATAGTTGGGAAAGGTATCTTCTTCCATTTTTCTCTAATTTTTTTTATGATGTGATGTTTTATATTTAGTCTTGTATCCATTTGGAATTTATTGAGCTGTGTGGCATAAGATTCTGGTGTATACCTAAGCTCTGCCAAACTGATTTCCAATATTCTCTCTGGGAGATTTTGGAACCTTTAAAACAAACACTATTTTAAAATACCATCTCTTTCTTCTTATTATGGAAACTAGTTAAAAATCTGCTTATTGTATTAGAGAATGTTCTTATTGTGTTAGAGAATTTATTAGCATGTTGTTATGTGTCAGATTTGGAAACTGATACAAGTATACAAAAGCTTATTTAAATAGTGGAAAGAACACTGGACGTGGAGTCAGGGGACCTAGAGGCAGCTAGAACTAGTGCTGGACTTAGAGTAAAGAAGACTTGAGTTCAAATTCTGTCTTGGACACATACTGGCTGTGTGACTCTGGACAAGTAAATTTCTCTCAACCTCAGTTTCCTCATCTGTAAAATGGGGTTAGACTCTGTGGCTCTCTTGCAGCTCTAAGTTTATGATCCTATGACTTGAGTTTGAATCATGGCTCTGCTAAGAATTGCTTGTATGTCCTCGGGCAAGTCAATTAACTTCAAATTTTCCTCCTCCATAAAATGAATGGATTATACTAGGTGATCTCTAAGGTCACTTCTGGCTTTAAATTCCATGATACTAAGAACAAAAATTGCTAGGTATATCTCTGAGCCTAATGTAATCCAGATTTTTAGAAAATATTATATGATATGGGAACATATGTTAAAGAACTAAACCTAAGAAAGCTATTGTTACTGATTTTATATATAAAAGTTTGCTTATATTATACATTATTGTTTAACCTATAAAATTTCATCAGCTCTAAAAATCTAAGGTAAAAGAGTTTGAAAGTGTTTGCTTTGAAATAACTAACAGTTACTATTATATTTTAGATTGTTTAAAAGTCAAGTTTGTGTATAATAACCTTAACAGTCATGATTTTGAAACCATTTGCCAACATTCTGTTTGCATGATGAGACAGAAAAAATGTGAATATTTTTCATATCAAAACAAGATCAAGAAAATTTTCTTAGAGAAATACATAACTTTTGCAGTGCTGTGTAGCATGAATATTTGGTTGCAAGGTAAACCCTCTGTATCTTCTAATATATTTATGTAGCTTCTTGCTGAATGAATTTGGAGGTTTAAAACAAAATTCACTAAACCTTCTCCTAAAAACTTCTACTTTTTAAGATGTTAAAATTTAAACTACATTCATTCATTCATATTTAGATAGCTATCATTTTACCAAATCAGTAAGTTTTAGGGAAAGGAAGGCTGATGATTTCATGTGCCTGTGGAGATAAGGGTTTAGTATCCCAAATTTCTGTAAAGGACACACAGACAGAAAGTGTCCAGGGGAAATATATGACCCACATCTGAGTAATGTTTTCTTAAAATATTTTTCCATTTGGGGTATATTAATTAATGCAGACTTAGAAATTTAAATGATATATTTCCTTTGTCTTTAAAAATGATGCAACTTGACAGGATTATTTAAGGCTGTGGCAGTTTAGACCAGAAAAGTTTTCAGTGTCCTCAGACTCTGAAGCAGTACAAAAAAGCATCACTTTTTTTTCCCTCTTGCTGACTTCAGTCTGAGACTCATAGTCAACCTGAAAGTTTCATAAACAAAATTCCAAACAAAAGAGAGGGCAGATGGCTTTCTTTATGCAAGAGAATACCGTTAGGACTAGGAAAAACAATAATTCAACTTTGGAATAAGGTCTAAAAAGATGAAAAATGGAATATAGTGGAGAGAATGGGATAACTAATAGCCACTGTGATGTAAGTTACAGAATATGTATGTAATGTAAGTTACAGAATATATATGATGAGAGACAGATTTAGAATCACAGGATAACAGCTCTGGGAAAGACCTTAGAGGGCCTCCTGTGTCATTTTACGGATGAAAAAACAGACCCTGAGAGATAAAATGGCTTGCCTTTATTTTGGACAGCCTAATTTCTGGGATGGATTGTAAGAGAGAAAGATTTTAGCTAGAGAAGGCCAAAAGGAGAAAGGTACCCAGACCATTTAGAATGAAAATACAGGACTTGGAGTCTAAAGACTACAGTTGTAGCCCTTGTTCTTCCACCTACTACCTATGTGACCTTGTGCCCTTTGGCATCAGTTTTCTCATCTGTAAGATTAGTGGGTTTGACTAGATGGTCTCTAAGGTTCCTTCTGGCTCTTACAAGCAATACCACATGACCCTGTCTAATTCAAAGGAGGATGAATTAAAAGAAAAAAGCCCAGGAGTCAGGGAGTAATGGGATTATGTGTTGGTTATGCGCCAAGGTGACTGCACACCCTAACCTATCATTATATTTGCCTTCTTCCAACTGACCACTTTTGTGTTGATAGAGCTACCTCTAGTGATCATTATTTAGTAACATGTTTTTGTTTAATGGATTTTGAATAAAGTGGTTTTAATTTATCAATATTGAACTGTGTCAAATATTTTCCTGGGTGAAGATTTCAACAAAGGAAGTGTCAGTTTTCCTAATTATGATTAGGCTGGCTGGAAACCCCCCAAAATGTGTTCCTATAAAAACAAACAACTAGCAATTGTAAATCTAATTCCACTTGCTACTTTTCAGTCTCATGACCATGTTTATGACAAAAAGAACTGTCTAATGGTGAAATCTAGTGCCAAATTTCAAGGAACTGAGAAGTGAGTGGGAGGTGGGGACATGGAGGTGCCTAGTATAAATTATTTTATTTGGTTTTCTTATTGGCAGAACCAGAATTCAAACCCTTACTGCAAAAACAGCACTCATTCTTTTTTGCAGGAAGCATATTTTATTGCCCTGCTAGATAAAACTTTTCTTTTTTCTCTTGGACCTGTGACTTCATTGGTATCTTCTGCCAAGTAAATTCTCCCTACCAATACCTAGTAGCAACTGTTATACAACTTTTTGTCTTAAGCAGTTGGTTACCTGAGGCAATGAGAGGTTAAGTGACTTGTCTGAGGTCATGCAGCTGGTATGGGTCAGAGATCTTGATTCCGAGTCTGGTCTCTATCTACTCTGTCACAGAGCAAAAGAAAAGATGCTAGGAAGAAAATTTTCAGTAGGATTGGAGGAGGAAGGTAAGCATAGCATTCTACATTTGAACCCTCTTGTTTCAGATAGCTTTTTTTCTACATTTCTCTCTTTTGCTGCTACCTAAACCTTAATAAAAGGGCAGCTAGATGGCACAG